CCATGGCTGGCTCTTCCCCTATGAGGCCCAGACGGGAATTGAACTCTCAAACTCTGGTTCCACAGCCAGAGTCGAACCAGAAAAGTGGTTTACATTTTTTTTAATTATGCAGGGCTACACCCCAACAAGCTGAATACTCAATTTACCAACCTCGAATAGATGGAAGGCTGAGTCAACCTTGAGCAGGCTACTTGAACCCATTGGGATCAAATTCAGGTCGTGAGCAGAGGCTTGACTGCAGTACTGCTGTTTAACTACTGCATTACAAGGCTCCCTATTATACTGAAGAATGCAATGTTTTTTTCATACTATAGTTCCAGAGAGAAAGTCTTAGTATGTCATTCCAGATAGGGCTCCACTCTTTCCTCTGATGAGTTTGGCCTTGTTTTACATGAAAATTTTATTTGTACTGTATTAGGTGTTGTGTTTTTTTTAAGATTATGGGGGAAATTGCTTTGGGGGGAAAAAGGCTTAATGCAATTTTTTCAGTGGTCCAACCTGCTTCTGCCTTTATACAATTTAAATTAGTTAAATTAGTATTGGTTTCCTTCCTGACCTGACATGCATATTTTGGACACTGCTTGGGATAGTTACTTTTTGCCTTTATTTGTATTAGGGTTTTTTTATAAAGATTATGGGGGAAATTGCTTTGGGGGAAAAAAGGCTTAATGCAATTTTTTTCAGTGGTCCAACCTGCTTCTGCCTTTATACAATTTAAATTAGTTAAATTAGTATTGGTTTCCTTCCTGACCTGACATGCATATTTTGGACACTGCTTGGGATAGTTACTTTTTGGACTATAAACCCCAGAATCCCCCAGTCAGCGTGGCCAGTGAAAGAAAAGTTTATATTGGGGCAGTCTCTTTTGACAAAGTACCAAAAACATGCAAGCACTGCCATCTAGTGGTTAAAATCAGAATTCTAATGCTGCTGAGGAATTAAACCTCCCACCGGTTGCACACTTGAGATATATAAACATATATCAAGAGACAGAAAGAGGAAGCGAAAAAAAGAAATTGGAGAAGCTGGAGGTCTTTGGACGGTCAAGGAAATCAACAAAACTAGAAAACATCACTTGACTGAGCATATGTAACTAACGGTCTGTACTTAAAAAATAAACAAGCTACATATGCAAGCAGGCAAATGACTGTTTAAAAAAAAAAACCTTGCCTTCTGTACTGCTTTGGAATGCTGGGCAATGCTCTTCGCTGTTCCCTTACAGTAGCAGTAGTTTTGAATACCCTAAATGTCTCTGGAGTTTTCCTCTACATTTCAGTCTTCAAGAATGCTTGTTTGAAAGCAAGGCACATCAAAACAAAAGCAAATGTGCAACGAAAGACGGGAGCGCTATGCTTTGATCGCGTCCGTGCGATCATCGCATAGCGAAAAAAGCCCATAGGGGCCATCACTGAGCGAACGCTCCAGCGATGGCCCGGGACCCCTCGTTGTGCGGTTTCATCGCATAGCGAAGCGTTCGCTATGCGAGGCACTACTGTATATGTAACTAAAGGTCTGTACTTTAAAAAATAAATAAACAAGCTACATATGCAAACAGGCAAATGGCTGTTAAAAAAACCCTTGCCTTCTGTACTGCTTTGGAATGCTGGGCAATGCTCTTCGCTGTTCCCTTACAGTAGCAGTAGTTTTGAATACCCTAAATGTCTCTGGAGTTTTTCTCTACATGTCAGTCTTCAAGAATGCTTGTTTGAAAGCAAGACACATCAAAACAAAAGCAAACGTGTAACGAAAGACGGGAGCATGCTCACACAAGATGTGCCTACAGATAATACAAGTTACTAGCCACTTGAAAACTAAACCCAGATAGGAAGCAAGGCCCAATGGGCTGTATTTTTTTATAATGGAAAACTTTAAAAATAGCAACCCTGCTCTGACTCTAAATTGGTACAATCCATTTTATCCAATAATTCTGATAAGGATGTAGACCAAGCCAGAGTCACCTCCACTCAGTAAACACTAGTAACTGACTGGCGTGTTCCCAGCCCTGAAGGAAAAACTCCTTGCCTCTCTCCCTTTTTCTTATCCCTCTCCTTTCCCTTCCCTTTTAGGGACGTGGTGGCGCTGTGGGCTAAACCACAGAAGCCTGTGCTGCAGGGTCAGAAGACCAAGCAGTCATAAGATTGAATCCACGTGATGGAGTGAGTGCCCGTTGCTTGTCCCAGCTCCCGCCAACCTAGCGGTTCGAAAGCATGCAAAATGCAAGTAGATAAATAGGGACCACCTCGGTGGGACGGTAACAGCGTTCCGTGTCTAAGTCGCACTGGCCATGTGCCCACGGAAGATTGTCTTCGGACAAAACGCTGGCTCTATGGCTTGGAAACGGGGGTGAGCACCGCCCCCTAGAGTCGAACACGACTGGACAAAAATTGTCAAGGGGAATCTTTACCTTTACCTTTTACCTCCTTTCCCTTCGGTGTTGTGTTTTTTTAAATTGGTATATTATGGGGCAATGTCTACCTTTAAAACAACAACAACGAGCTGTCAAGTCAATTCTGAGTTATGGTAACCCTTTTTAGGGTTATCTAGGTAGAGAGTTGTCAGAAGTGGTTTACCAGCCCCTTCTTTGGGGAGCATCCTGGGACTGTGCAGCTTGCCCAAGGCTACACAGGCTGGCTCTTCTCCCAGAAGGCATAGAGAGGAATCAGACTCCCTGGGCTCTGTAGCCAGATACCTCACAGAGCTATACAGCCAGCCAACACTTTTAAAATAAACGGATGGTTTAATTGCCACTCCAAGAGCTTACCATTGGCTCAGGGATAGGATAAAAATGCTAAGAACCAATGTCCTTCTCCTTCTTTTTAAACCACAACTACAGGTTCCAAAAAGCTGCCTGCCACAACCTCTCAGCCAAAGGGTTTCACCACTCAGCCATCCAGAGATCATCTTATTGGTTTCATACTGTGATGTGCTACAAATGGGGAGAAAAGCTACTGGGGAAAGGTGCTCTCCAAGCAGAACTTGATACTCTGGCCATGCCAGTGGAGGGATGTTGGAAAGATTTCAAAAAGATGTTTCAAGCAGCAACAGCGGTAAGCACTTCCATGCTGCAGATTGTTTTCTTTGGGGTGAAACTGCCCAGATATTTTTTTTATTACATGCCAGTTCTAATAGAGCCAATAGATAAAACCAAAGTTCAAAGATCTTAGCCATAATTATACCATACTGCTCATGCAGAACTATGGGGAAAGAACTAGTTAAATATTAATTTAGATTTTCCTCTTACATAAGAAGATTATTGGACTATTGGACTAATAGCAATATTAGGCCAGTAAGACCAGCATATCTAGCAATCTTAGAAGGCATTTCATTTCACACACCACATAGCCACAGAAGTTGTGAACTTTCCTGGACACAGATAGCTTAGCTACAGTTATCCATGCTCTGGTAACCTCCAAATTTAAGACTACTGCAGTGCACCCTATATGGGGCTGCCTTTGAAGACTGCCCAGAAACTGCAGTTAGTTTAAAACACAATTGTTAGGTTATGAACCAGGACCAAGTACTGGGAATACATTTCACTACTGTTTAAAGAGGCCCATTGACTTCTAGTCTGTTAGCAAATACAATCAAATTCTTTAGTCTCCTGTATATTACATTTATAGTCCATCCTTCTGCACTCAAAGAATGCAGCAAAACGGCACTCAAGGCATGCAGCAAAAATGAAGATCTGAATAAAACCAAATGGCATTTATACTATTTTGCTGCTGCGTAATACAAATATCATGAAATGCAGTACATAGAAGCAAGTCAAGTATGCAGGAACTACGCCAGTCTAAGTAGAATCTGAGCAGAGCATCCATGAGAACAGAGAGATTTGCATGGAATGCAGTGTTCCCCTAAGTGTTCCCCTGGAACCTGCCAAGTAAGAAGGATCCCTTTGGGGACAGGCTTAACTTTTATGAAAAAGAACCGGCAACTACAACAGAATGTTGCAGCATATCCTCTTTCTTCTAACAAGAGTTCTCAGTGCTATTCAGGCAGTCATACCCTTCTTCTGGAATACCGTAAAACTGGGCAGGAAAGCATGCCCCCCCGAGTGTTTCTGGACAACATGTCCATCAAACCTAATCAGCATAACCAAGATGAAGGACGAAAGAGGCTGCAGTTCAACAAAACCTAGAGGACAATATTTCCCGTCCTGCAATCAGGTGTCTGGGGTAAAGCAAGCCAATTTATCACCTGCCTCCACCTTCCAGGCTCTTTCTTCTTTTTTAGCAGACACTCAACACATCACAGTCCTGCCATGCACTGAGCACACAAAGTACTCATTGGGCAAGTTTTTTGTTGCTTTTGCTCTGTATCCTTTCTTTTTTGCCCCTTTGTGCATACGGTTCACTCTAGCATGCTGACAGCAACCTCGTTGTTTCTCAGTGACTCCATTTGAGTTCCAGTCTTATTGGCCCATGGATTCTGAGTTTACTGTTGGACACAAGGGTTGAAAATCCTGTTGGTGGAGCTGCGCCACAGAAAAAGAGTGATGTCATCAGCCATGGCCATGACGTGGCTGGTTTGGAGAAACAGAACACTTTCCAGAGCCTTGCCCCCTTCAGCTTTTCCGAGGCAATAAACTTTCTAGAGCTTCCCCAGGTTTTGAGGGTCCCTAAGGATTCCCCTCGTTCTAGGGGAGCCTTCAGGAGCCACAGAATGAGAGGAGAATCAAAATTGCCTCTCACTCAGACCATCCAGTCCAGTGAGTGGCAATTTTCTGGCTATAAAATGTCCCCACACACATACACACTATTCCACAGCTCCCAAAGACTACCCAGGATGAAAGAGATCCCTAGCTTTTTATTGCTCCAAAATGACCTAGGCTGATGATGTTATCCTTGTTACATGGTGTAAAGTTACACAACAGGATTTAAACCCCAGATTTCTTAACTGTTTGCATGGAAAGTTAATCTAGAAGGTCAACATACAGGTACTATGTGCCCAGTTTTTTCAGTCCCATCCCTGTCGCCAAGTGATCCAGGAAAAGACGTAGAGCAACCTGTTCAGAAGTCCTGCGAGGAACATCTGTTTGACCCTTGGCTTCACAGGGCTTTTAAAACTTTCTGTTTTGCAAGATATTCTGGACAGAGACTTAGAGCAGTTGGGAGCAGGTACAGTAACTGGTAATTCATTTACAGCATCTGTGCTGTACCTATCACAGGTACTAACACTTAATATGTTTACTTTGCAATAAGGTTACTGAACTCTGTTGGACTGACCGCTAAATAAACATGTATAAAATTGCATTGCAGTACTGCAGTATTTTTAAAACCCGGTAAGATTTATTTGTTGTTTATATGTACTGTAAGTGCAACTAGCAATCTATTTAATAATCCCCATTTAGATGTTAAGACCCACTGAAATGACATTACGATTTGATCCTGCAGTAGCCAGTAAAACAGGGCTGGGGAACACCCCATCCTTCTAAAGTTACTGAACTACTGCTCCCATAATCTTTCACCTTTGACTTCGCTGATTGAGCCTTATGGAAGCTAAAGTCCAAAAACACCTGGAGGAGTACAGATTCCCTGGCACTGGAATAAAGCTTGGCTCTTCATTTTTTAGACTTGTGGTTACAAGTACCCAGACCGTCCTTTGAACGCTTATCATGGCTTGCTCAATTATAAGACCAGCAAGTGCAGAAAGGAAGACTGGCCCATTGCTACTAATATTCCTTCAAAACTGCAACCACGCTGGAGGAATCCAAAATGTATGCTGTGCTGCACGCTTAGAATGTATGCTGTGCTGCACGCTCACACATCCAAAGATGACCCAGAAGGTGCAGAAGTACAGATTAGTCCACTCAGAAGAGGTCTTTTACACCTGAATGAGCCTTCCACTGAAGCTAAAGTCTGATGGGTGCTTCATCTGACTGGCTGCAACCTTGCCTGTGCTTTCATGCTCAGCTGTTTTCTTGGGACTGGGAGAAAGTTCTGCCTCAAAACCACAGTTTGGATCTGAACCTTCCTTTTCTAGGTCTGCAGCATCCTCCACCCCACCCCAAAAACATGCCAGCTTCATGTTGCCTTCCAACTCACAGAAGTGCCTTTGACTCATCCTCCACTGGGAACATGACAAATCCTTTGACTGGGCCCATTTCCTGCCTGCTGTTGCCCCTTCCCATAATGCTCTCGCTTCTCCCTGGTCTCACCTCCTCAGAAAGAGAAAGCAAGCTGCTCCTTCTAGATCCCTGCTCACTTTAGTAAGAGAACAAGCAGGCAGGATGCAACAGCAAGAAGAAACAGCTGGGGGAACAGAGACTGGCAGTTCACACCATGCTAAGATGCCTAATGATGCCAACTTCCAGTGCCAGTCCTGTGAAAAGCTTCCCTGCACCACCTCCCAAGCAGGAAGTGTTCAGAGTCCTGGCCAAAGGGCAACTCCAACAAGAGCCCATCACTCAAGAAATGCAATTGAAGGAAGGGGATCTCCTTACTTTGTTCATCCGGGTGAAGTGACATGTAGAGCAAGCTCCAGAGCAGTGTGTTGGAGGTGGTGTCTGTGCCGGCAATAAAAAGGTCCCCAATGATAAAGAATAGGTAGTCATCGTCAAAGCTACTTTCACTGTTAGTCTTTTTTTCTTCATCTACGTGAAGGAGATACATATCAATGAAGTCCCGGGGATTCTGGGCATCCAGAGTCTCCCGATGCTGGATAATTATTTTCTTTAGAAAAGCTGTGATATCTATCTCAGCCTGCCTGAGTTCTCGGAAGGGCCCGAAAGGAAGGTAGTACAGCCAAGGGCAAATGTTGATCAGGAGGACGTGTATGTTCAAGGTGATCTCTAGACAGCGCGACATAACTTTCAGCAAGGTTTTGAACTCCATGTCATCGTAGTCAAAGCGTCTGCCAAAGGCCATTGAGCAGATGACATTGGACACTGCGTTACCAATAATGGGGAAGGGGTTGAACTGGTCTCTACCATGTTTCAGGATCTCTTCTTTCACGTATTTGAATTCTTCAATGATTTTCGGCTCCAGGCTGTGCTTTCCTAACCCAAAGTGACGGAGAGTTGAATGAGAGAACTTCCTCTGTTTTTTCCAGACCGGACCATAAGGTGCAAACACCACCCCTGCATGAATGAAAAGGGAAATGCTGTGATCCAAAACAAAGCTTTTGTTAAGTTTTGGTTAAAATGGGTTTAACTTTTTAACCACAAGAATTCCTCCTAAGAACTTAGAAAGTTACTACTGCTCCCAGAATTTCCCAGGCAGCTTGCTTCTTCCTGGAAGTCAGGGAGTCACAGAGCACAAAAGTAACTTTTTCAAACTCTGCTCCTGCTTTAAAAGGCTGGGGGTCATGCAAGGGTCTCAGAAAGGCCCAAAAGGGAGATAGAAGTTTTAAAATATGTGATGGACCACACTTGGCCATCCCCTGTCTTTGACATGAACATGAGCCGCAAATGCCCTGCACATTCTTGTGAAACCACAACTACAGGTTCCAAAAAGCTGCCTGCCACAACCTCTCAGCCAAAGGGTTTCACCACTCAGCCATCCAGAGATCATCTTATTGGTTTCATACTGTGATGTGCTACAAATGGGGAGAAAAGCTACTGGGGAAAGGTGCTCTACAAGCAGAACTTGAGTACTCTGGCCATGCCGGTGGAGGGATGTTGGAAGCTGTATTTCAGAAAGACGTTTCAAGCAGCAACAGCGGTAAGCACTTCCATGCTGCAGATTGTTTTCTTTGGGATGAAACTGACCAAATATTGTTTTATTACACGACAGTTCTAACAGAGCCAATAGATAAAACCAAAGTTCAAAGATCTTAGCCACAGTTATACCATACTGCCCATGCAAGGACTATGGGAAAAGTAACTAGATAAATATTAATTTGAATTTTCCTCTTACATAAGAAGACTATTGGACTAACAACAATATTAGGCCAGTAAGACCAGTATATCTAGCATTCTTAAAAGGCATTTCATTTCACACACCACATATTCACAGAAGTTGTGAACTTTCTTGGATGGAGATAGCCTGACTACAGCTGTCTATGCTCCAGAAACTTCCAAATTAGACTACTGCAATGCACTCTATGTGGAGACTGCCCTTGAAGACTGTCCAGAAACTGTGGTTAGTTATTGCATTATAGTCCATCTTTCTGGCAAGAAATGGCACTCAAGGCATCCCAAAAAGTGAAGATGTCAATAAAAATAATGGTATTAATACTATTTTTCCACATAAATAAATACCGTAAAACAAATAAAATAAGTATATAAATTTCCTTAATTTCAGGGACAAGTGGGCCCCAGGTTAAATGGTATAACTGGGCCCCAGGTTAAATGGTATATGCCTACTGCCATACTAATTTTGCAGCAGTTTACATGTAGGAAGAGCTAATTATTGCAAAATTTACTCTAAATTTCATTGCTTCATGTACAGATTCCTGGAAGCTGCTTTGCTGTATATAGTGTACATAGCTCATATGAAAAGTTCCACAGAAAAGAGGATTCTTTGTCAGATAAAACTAACTTTTTGCACAAGCATTATACAGAAAAGTTATAAAATGTTAATATGCAGGCTTGCATTTCCCTCCCCCTCACAAACTTTGCAAGGAATCTGCAGTAACAGTAAAGTTAGGCACTGGAGTGACTCAGGAAGGATGAACAAACTATGTCTTGTATTCTGAACTGCCTACAGGACCGTGAAATGTACTATCAAAACTTTGAGGGTGACTGCACTGGCCATTTACCCCACAATTTGCATCAGATTAGGTACAGGTGAATTCAAATTAAAATCTGGCCACTGCACAACATAAAACTCAATGTGGAGAAGCTCTTCATGGAATTGTCTCTTCTGAGTGAGGAAACCCTTTTCTTTTCTTTTTTTCCTGTTTTTGTTCAACTAGCCGGGGTAGCTGTGTTTAAATTTGCTCCATTTGGCTGGTACCACGTTTCTCTGCTTTCTGCTGTATGTGATCACTAGATCCAAAGGCAAAGAGGTGCTAATAGAGGTGTCAGTTCCCCATCAACCAAGTGTCTCTTGTCTCCAAACAGTGGTCTGTGTGGGTTGTTGTTGTTGTTTTTAAAGCTTTCAAGGCAGAGAAAAGTATGGCTATGTCACTTAGGACTTTTCCTCTTTTTTAAGGTGGAAATTGCTATTTACCACCCATGTCAAACTGACAGCACCTTTGACAAGCTTCTGCTGTTGGAGCCTCTGTCCCTGCTGACTCCTGCAAACTGTTTGTCCTCTGGATAGCTATAACAACTTCACCCGCAGAAACCCAATTAGAAAAAACTGCAGTCAGTGCCTCTGTCCCTGCTGACACCTGCAAACTGTTTGTCCTCTGGATAGCTACAGTATAACAACTTCACCCGCAGAAACCCAATTAGAAAAAACTGCAGATCACAGAAGATTCAAGCATATTTTTTCTGCTGTGTAGTTGCACCTTTTGTCAACCATGAGAACTAGAAACTTGATGGTGAGAAAATATCAGAACTGGAAAGGTTCCTAATGATCTGGTGCTTCTCTCTAGCGACTTTAAATTTCATGGGATGATGCCAAAGACCAGCACAGTATCACACAACACAGCAATCTTTCAAAACAAAATTCCTAAACAGGGCCAAAACAGGAAAACAAGTCTCGAACTGATTAGATCTGGGATAAAATATTCTCTCGTCAATGTCATGTTACACCTTCAGCACTTACATGCGGTTTCTTTTTGCAGTGCATAATATGGCAGCCTGAGGGCTAAGTCATTAGAATATACAATCAGCTACACCTGACTGCAGCTTTCCCCACACAGGTGTGCGTGGCAAAAACAAAGCTGGAAAGGTCTCTATGTGCCAGGTTTTGCGCGCAGATGCAGGTAGTTTGCAGTGCAATGAGGACCGAACACCAGTGAAATAATCTGTCTTCTTGTAACCTAGGGGATGACCAGCTATTGTGTTCTTAGGGGTCACACACCTTTAACAGTTCTCTTGAAGAGGACATTCCAGCAAGCTTGTTATGCAAGCTGTGGCCGAACTCAAAAGGGGCTCTGCAGTTAATTGTAAAGCCTGGAAAAAGTTACATGCTTGGAGTCCAGCTCTGACAATCTCCTAGCCATCTCGGGCAGATCCTGGGAGGTCTAGTCCAAAAATGTAACCGTTCCAGACTTTAGGATGAGATGCAAATGTATCTGAAGAGAGATGATGTGTTAACAGGATGGAAAACGTTCTGTCATTTTCCATCTTTCCCTAGTGAGGAAATAGCATGAGAGAAATCTACTTTGAATAAAATTTGGAGAAACTGCTGGGGCCTTGCTTATTTCTTAATTTATGGTATTGACATAATTTACTCCTCTCCTCCGGGATTTAAAAAGTGGCTGGATGATAGGATCATATACCAAAGTGTGAGGTTAGGCAATATTTCTGAAAAGTTACAAATAAGGTGAGCATCAGATCTGTCCAGAATTTTTCATCCAGTGAAGATGGTATAAGAATAAAGTTTAAGATTAAGGCAGACAAGTTCCCAAAACGGGGGGACCAGATGCAGTGCCCTATGGTTCATGAAACCTGATTGCCCCCAGAGCAAACTGCTGTTTAATTTATCCAAGTTTTCTATCATCTTTACCTGATGAGGAGTTCTGGGAAACTCCAACACTTGCCTTTTTTGGTAACTTTCCAGTGATTTGGACTTTTCGTTGGCTCGCGCCTCTTGCATTATCCCTGCTAAGGGATCTTCTCCTCCGGTGCACCTGCTTAAACGAGATCTTATTTCCCACCAGAGGCATCCGGTTGCCTCCTGGGGCTTCGGGAGCGGGCCGGCCCTTCCAGCCGCAGAGGAAACAAGACCCCCCCCCGCCCGCGCAACAGGCGGTGACGGGCGGCCTCCCACCGTCAGGGCACCGGTTGCCTTCGCGCCCGGCAGCCGGAGGGAGGATCGGGGGTCCGGAGGGCTCCCGCCTCGCCCCGCCGCCCCCGCTCCCGCTTACCCTTCTTCTTGGTGAGGATAGTGACGATGGGGATGCTGGGCCGGTCGCTGAAGACCTCGGCCTGGTTGACCAGGGCGTCTCGCACGGCCTCGAACTCGCTGAGCACGACGAGCGGGCAGCTGCCCACGAAGAGGCTGAAGATGCTGCCGTAGACCTTGGTCAGGTTGGTGAGCGCCACGTGCACCGAG